CGATAGACAACTTTTAAAAATTTAACTTAAAATGATTTCCTCGGTTTAAACATTTTTCCTCAATTGAATTTTCGACATTTCTTATAATTAATTTTATAATCGTCACTGAAGAGGTCGGAAAGTTAATTCAGAATATACAACTAAACTTGAAAAGTAATTTTAAGTAAAATTCGAAAGTATAGTGTTGAATAGTGTCCAATAGGAATTTGTCTCTGAATGAATCTCTGATCGCTGCCTTATCTGAATTTGGTTGACCACTGTTTGTATCAGTTGAAAGATTCATTTCCTTCGCGATGGATCGAAGGAATCGAATTTTGTTGCATTGTGAGATACAGAGACAGTAGAGCAGTCGCTATAGAGAATTTTGATATATTAGTTGCTACTTTGTTAAGAGAACTGTTTCAATCCTAAGGTTTGATTGTTCGTCAATGCGTTCAAATATTGGATTCTTCAATTTCAAAATTTCCAAAGTTCTACTAATGCTGCACGTTGGTCGAAAACTGTCGAAAATCTTCCCTCGCAAAACCAAAGACAGAGTCTTAAATCCTGTGAGCTGATGAACAACAGCGATTCCATATTCAAAGTGTTAATCCCCGATGAATGTTGCATATTTTCCAAGTTCCTAACTGCTGAATCTAAAGAGAACTGTTTCAATCCTACGATTAGATTGTTCGCAAATCCATATTCGCTGTATAGCCGCGCGTTCCATGCGAAACAAAGTCGCTGTTCGCGGTCGATCCCCGTAGCTGCGCCTAAACGCTTCGAAAGTCGCGCGGATATAATTTCGCCCGTGGCGGGGACCGGTTGCCGATCGGGCCGTTTCGTAAGAAACACCTGCGAGTCATTATCCCTCGACTACCTTGGCTTTCCCCGGCAATAATGCGATTCGATTTGCCCTCGCGGAACGGCCGATTCCGCGCTCTCCTCTCGCCGATCAATGGGACCGAATAACGCGTTTCTATACGCTCGTACGAAATTCGCGTGCTCGTTTCGCAACTAGCGCTCGAAGGCTACCTCTAAGCTCCTCAGGTGCATTCGGCAAGGTTCCGAGCACCCTCCCCCCTCCGCGTTTTCCACGCGAATGCCTTTTTCTTTTAATTCGACCTTTTTTTGCGAGCTGCTTTGCGTGTCGGGCATTTCGCAGGCGTGACGAACACGCGTTTACCGGCGAGCGAAGGTTCGCCGCACGCTTCCACATCGAAACGTACGGCTGTTGTGTTTCTGGAAGCGTATCTGGAATTGTGGACCACCGGAGGAGCGACGCCGCGTGATGCGTCGGCACTTCAGCGATTTGCTAGTCGCCGATCAACGAGTTGCGAACGCGTTACCCGCTCCTCGCGTTGTCTGGTTATTGATGAAGGGAAACGCCGCTCGACTCCTTATTACATAGGTGGAGATGGATGGTTTATCTTCAACGCGAACTCTTGTTTTTCTTCGGGAAGTTGAAGTCTTCATGAGGTTCTGCTTACAGCTGAAGTTTATTGGTTTCTTTGTTATCTCGTACCTAGAGGCTTGTTGTATCTATGTTTAGAGACTGTTTAGACTAGCTTCTTTTAGCCGAATACCAATTAGCTTCAATTACTGCCAATTGAAATGAATAAATGCGCAATTACATAATAGACCTTTCGGAGCGTGAAAAGTGGGCATCTTTGTCGTAACTCTATTCCTAACATAGTTATGTCTACATTGTTAAGAACTACCGAGTATTTAATACAGTTAATATGTAATCCCTATACAAATTGTAACAATAGATTATTTTCAGTTTGTTCAGACATTCATTGGAGTATTCGAGTGAAACTATTTATTTTCAAGATCATTTCGAGTATTGAGTGCCTTTGAGATATCAATAATTACGGAAGAAAAATATCGAAACCGGTCGTTTTGATTGGTACGGTAGTAGTGTTAATTAACTAGAAAACAGGAGAATCCTATTTCGTTTTGTCCACGTTTCCTGAAGCATACCGATTAGCAACAGGAAGATTATACTTAGAAATCAGAAGAATCGAATGTCATTTGGATTTATTTAATGCGTACCGGATGATTTTCAGAAAACTGAATTGTGCGATGGCAATTTTCACTGAGGTCAACTTGTATCACTATATTTTATATTTATCTTTATTTTATATATATATAAAATTTTATATTTATCTTTATTTATATTTATATTTATATTTATATTTATATTTATATTTATATTTATATTTATATTTATATTTATATTTATATTTATATTTTATATTTATCTTATATCAGAAAAAATATATATAAAAATCAGAAACAACATAGTGAAATTTTCACAATACAAACAGTAAATAAAATTTACGAATGCCCATTCGAACAGCCGTTCGTGCAAGGGTTAACAAACATTCCCAGATCTCGCGAGTCCGGTCTATCCCCGTCGAATCAATATTCCGCCGCATCTGATCATGTTTACCGAACGGTATCAAGGTCACGAGCAATATCTACAAAGCAGGAAGTCCTGTTGGTGCGATCCGTCGCGGCATAAAAGTTCCGCAGATGGAAAACAAGGTCAGGCTCGCGCGGACTTTTTCGCATTGTTTTTTCCGCGCCGAATGAATCTCGGCGTCTGGCTAGCAGGCGACGCGAGATACACCCTGTACATCGCGGACTTGGCGCGGAAGCCGGCCGCTATTTCCAGCCCCGCCCGGCCCGAGTTTACCAGAAAATGGAAAATGTTTATTCAGGAACGCTGTACGCGTCCCTCTCGCTCGCATCGCGCCTCAGTTCTCCACAAAAGGGGGCGGCGATTGTACGCCGCGCGGAGGTTTCGAGCAGCGTCGCGTTCAACCCCTTGCTTTCCGATACAATTAACCCTTTGCACTCGGGAGTTTCTCGCTGGAAATATTTAACATTTTTCGACAAGGCGAAGACGATGTTCTCTGAGACTAACTCAGGGAAGTCGCCACTAGATTGAGCAAAGCTATTTTATTTAAATATTTCACATTGCAATACGAAGTTTAAAATAGTAGATATTCAACTTCATAGTTTTGCTGTATCAAATCAAGTGGTGACTGAGAGTCTCCTTTCGAGGGCAAAGGGTTAACTGGTTAATAGTTTCTCCGGGAAATATCTGTCATCTTTTTGATAATCGCAAAGGGAAACCAGGAATAAGTCATTCTACCTGTCTAGTTTTACTGTTAAGTTTACTAACCTTTTGCGCTCGAGAGGTGACTCTGTCACCTGATTTAATACAGTGAAACTATAAAATTTGATATTCAATATCATACCTCGTGCAATGCACCAATTCGGAAATATTGAAATAAAATAGCTTTGTTCCTCAATGCACGTGTGATTCCTCTTCGAGTTAGTTTCACAGAATATCGTCTTTTTCTCATCAGAAAATGTTCGAATGTTTCTAATGAAGAACTTCCGAGTGCGAAAGGTTAAAAGTTTCACTTCGTCGTATAATCTCTCGCCTCATTTCCTTTGGCATCAGCAAGAGTGGTTCGATAGTACGTTTCGTTACAAGTCGACGTTTATTTTGAACACCGAATAACGAGCACAGCGATGTTCGTTAAAAGGCAAGGAGTTAAATACATCTGTCGGAGTTCCGACAAAGTAGCTCGCCTACAATTCGCGAGAATCCGATTTATTCCGGGAGCATTTCGATCTAGCGAGAGCTCATTAAAGGATTCAAGCGTTTCCCAGCATCGATTATTACTTAGCGTACAGCGAGACCGACACCCCCTGCGGCCAGGTTCGCTCGCGCAGCGAAATCGATCGCCGCTCGCGATAACGTCCCCGCGCGCGCTTTACGCCGCGCGCACGGCCGGGCCGCCTGTGTATTTTCGAAAATGTTGCTTTCTTTCGTCGTTTATTTAATCGGTCCCCGCAGCCCTCGCCCCGATACCGAAATATCCGCTTAGTCAACAGAGCTCGCGGTTCAATAAAACTCTTCGTCACTACGCTGTCCGGCGAATTTCAGATTTCTCTTTATTTCCGAAAATTCCGCGGCACCTCGGGTATACGAGAAACGTTTACTTTCGCGAGAATTACTTTCGATAGATTTCACGCTAAATGTTTGGACAACCGTCGCTTTATGGTTAATTGCATTTTAACCCTTTGCGCTCGGGAGGTGACTCTCCGCTTAATTTGACACAGTAAGACTATAGAGTGTGATGTTTAATGTTAAACTTTGTGCAATGCCTCGATACGTGAAACATTTTAAAAGAGCGCTCATTATAAAAACGATATAAAATAATAAAACGAATAACCTCTATGGTTATTATTTTACACAGAACACTGCGACATATCTTTGTTAAAGTCACCAGCCTGTATTAGCTTATCAGTTATATTAACAGATATTTAAAACCCGAGGCACACCGCTTGCGATCACAAATGATTGTTTTTAGGTTACAATAATCTAAAGGAGTTAGACGCATGTCGTCTTTATCTCATCGGAAAACGTTCAAACATTTCTACTGAAAAACTTCCGAGTGCAAAAGGTTAACTGTGTTTGACGAGTACACGTCATCGTAAAGCTTGACACTATACTAATTCTTTCAGCGATGAATTCTTTATTTTTTAAACGCGTGATTCTTCTTTGTCTCGTTTCGATCTTTCATTAAAATAAACTCTGCATTCGTCCTGCGTTCGACGAGTACATGCTCTATTTTTCAATTTTATTGCGCGAACGAAAAGTTTTTCCAACTAAATTCCACAGTTAACTGGTTAAAGAAATTGGTTGAACAATGCGCAAACTGAATTGTATCAGTTAAAGTTTCGATAGATGCGCTCTTGGAGTTTCTATAGACTTAAATGTCAGTTGAACTCAGTAGTTTCAGCGTTAAGGGTAGTTTTTACCCTTCGATATAAATAGCTATCGATGAAGGGATTTGAATGTATCAACTATTGTAGGAAATGCTTTTTAATCAAGTTTCTTCGATCTGAGCGGTCTCGTGTAATTTGTTAAATTTAGACTGGTTGTTATACTTCGTTCGAATCTCTACACACGACTAACCGATTTCATTCTGTTACAGTGGTGTACTGCGACTATACCGCTTCCGGAAGGTCGCTGCAGTTCCTTGAAGAGTACATCGCGAAAGAGGTGCTGCCATGTTTAGGCGACACACGTGCGTCCACTTCGATCTGCAGCCTACAATCTTCTCTGTTCAGGTAAGGGGACCGTGATATCGCGCGGTTGGATAATATTGGGTTGCCCTAAAAGTTTCTTTCGCTTTATTAACACTAAAACCACCGGACGGGTCAAAATGACCCATTCTTGATTCTTTCTTCTTGCAAATGTTAAAAAGATAACAGATATTTCTCTGAGAAATTATTAAGGAAATTGAGTTAGCAATTCGCAAACTGAATTGTACATCACTTAAAGTTTCAATGGATGCACTGTTGTAATTTCTATTCACAAATTTCAAAATGTCCATTTATCTGCTCGGTAGATTTAGTGTTAACACTAGAACGAATTTCGTAGATGAAATGTTCATATTTGTAAGACTAAGTCGCAGACAAATGATTTAACTACTCGAACAAGAGATCAGCAATTTCCTTTTTCTCTGTTAATTAAGTAATTGATATTTAACTTCATCTGTCGAAGACTTTATACATATCGATGTATCATCGTCGGCGAAGGGTTAATAAAATGCTAAAGAATTTCAAGTGACGTAGTTCCACGTCGTGTTACTGAATTATTTACAATCCATTCTGATTTATTGCCATCTGCCATTTTCCCGAAGGCCAATGTTATCTTCTCGAACTGTCTGCCAGACTAAACATCGCGGACAGAGCGCGAAAGAACCTCGCGGGATAACCTGAAACGCTTACGATTGGAATGTTCAGGTGAAAGATAAACGAAACGTATATTCGAGTACTGTTCACGTCGACAGGTGCCACGTAGCAGTCTCTCGTAGAATATTATTCTACCTCGGTCACATTAACTTCCTGTTCCTCGTTTCCAGCGCAGCGAAGAAATCTAATTGCTCGTAGAACAATGCGATAAAACAAGCATTTTCATTTGAACTCAAATTCGAATGATCTTCGTCCTTTCGCTAGCGAACTTTACACGATAATTATACACGATGATCAACGACCGTCAGTTTCGACGCAGCTTTCCATTCTTCAGTAACCCTTAACCCTAAGTCACCAAATGACTTGACACAGCAAAACTGTGAACTTTGATATTTAATATCAAACTTTATAATGCATCAATGTACGAAATAGTGAAAGAAAATAGTTCTCAATGCATGTGAGATTTCTTAATTCAATCTAAGAAAATGTACCTCATTAGAAAATATTGAATATTTCCGGTGAAAAACTTCTGGAGTGCAAAGGGTTAAGTAGCAAACAAATGATTCAACTACTGAAACAGTAAGAAATCGGTACATAATTTCCTTATTCTACATCATTTAGGCATTCGACATGTGATTTTGCAGAATCTACAAAGTTTCGTATACTCTAGAGAATCTCCGCAAAGGGTTAATCATCGTTTTTTAGATCGCATTCGCTCAAATCATCGGCGAGCATAGCCTTTTCCACGTTTATGAATTCAGTGTCGCTAGAACGACGTATCTTCCTTCCGCCTCGACCGCTGATCAATCCGAGCTGTAGATAGCTACGGCTTCAAGGTCACGTATAACGCAGCAAGGATTCTATTTATGTATTGCCGTACAATCAGTTCGACAAAGGTCTCAGTGTCAGGCAATAAGTGCAGCGCAGAGGTTGCTCAAAGTTTTCTGCGCGAGTAAATATTCATTCGAGATAACGGTATCTCGCGAATTCGAACTTTTTCATTGCAACAGTAGACCGGACGACAATAGTTGTCGCTAATGAATTCGTGTTTGTCCGATTGTTTATGCCGAATGATTGTTTAGGCCCGGACGGAGTTTTATCGGACGAGAAGTTCGCTCGCTGACAGCTTCCGAGCCGGCGTTACAGTCGTCGGACGCTTCAGCCCGGCGACATTATAAATTATTGAAAGGCATTGTATGGAGAGCCTCTTCATCTCGATGCCACGCCATCGAACAATCGTGATAACAATCGAGGTCGCGAGCGGCAACGCGAGCACGCATCGATGCATGCCCGGCGGGCGTCGGGCTCAGCTAACGACACATCCGCGAGCGATTCCCAGAATCAATTCCAGTTGCGGGTTACCCTATTAACGCGTTAAATGCCTCACGATTTTCGTGCGTTTCGCCAAAGCAGCTTTCACGGAGCGACATACGTATCTTCTGAGAAATATGATAGTCGAATTACATATTTACTCCTTTGAGATCGAATAATATCGTAATTAGTGGCATTAGGTTTTTAAATCTAAAGTCGAAAGCAGTTTCGTTATTCGAGTGGTAATCAACATAGCAATTGAACGTAATTGAATATGAATATAATTGACTTTTTTGTTAGTATTTATCAGTGTGTTTTATTCATTCTGTAGCGTCCTATAGATCGATGAGTGTTTGTTTTATATAGAGTTTATGGAAGTTTGAAAGATTGTTTTCTGTTTTATCTGACTGTTACAGTTTGTTAGTTAATGGAATTTGATAGTACAGGAAAGTGTAGGATCGTTTAGCTAAATAAACTACGATAATTCGATATGATTAAGGTAATCGATGACTCCGAGGGCAATCAACGCGTCAGTCTCGAAACCAAATGATCCCGCGATCCATCTTTCATCGTCTTCCCGGGGCGTGTACGCCGCTGATCGAAAGTTTCGACGCGGTTACACGCGACGAACGGTGAATCATTCATCCAGTTGCTACGGTTAGACGCATCGGGAAAGTTCAGGCGCCGTAAAGTCTACGGTTTATCGGCACTTTCGAAGAATTTATCAGTTTTGTAACACATAATCGCGGAGGAAGTGATTTGATGCAATTCACAGCCGCCGGAATTCGCGTTTCGCAACGTCGAGCGAACGTTCGCGGCGATCGCGGGCCATTAAATCGGTTTATAATTGTTCGGAGCTCGATCAAGTAAACTTCACTCGGATCGCGCGCTGAATATAAAAGTTTCATTCGATAATCGAAGTTATACGGTAGTTCCTCGCACAGGTCAACGCCGCGGTAAAAACTTTGTCTTGCTTTTCACGCGTTCGTGTTCGATAAAAACGTACAAACACCGTTCCCCGTCGGCGTCAGCAATTAGCTGCTGACTCCGGAATCGAAAGTAGAATGTCTTTAAAAAACCATCCGATCAGACGAACGATTAGAGACGATCTAGGATCGAAACAGAAAGAGTAAGAAAATATTAGAGGCATGAGGAGGCGTACAGGAAATTATAAATCAATAGTAATCCACGAGGCAAGCTCTGCACGCCGTCATTTAATTATCAAACTAACGCATTAGCGTGCATTCCGCTTAATCCGGTCCACGTTAACGCGTTAATGGACGCGCCTACAGGCCGTTATCGAGTCTCGTTATCGAATCGGCGAGCCGCGTCCGAAATTTTTCCGGCGGAGTGTACTCGCGGGAGCCGGTAAAAGCGGCGTGGCGGTGCGGTGCATTATGAATTTCTAATTATCGATTTCCTATGCCGGCGCGGAATTAACATGCGAGTACGATTCCAGTTGACGTGCGGTTTCCGCGATAAACGCGACTCGTTTTCCGCGCCACTCGACCGTTGCCTTTCTATTTCGCTCGGATCGGGAATCACGCTCGCGGCGGGCAGCCCGGCTGCGGCCGAATTCCTCGCTGCCCGGACGCCGATCAGCTGGCACCGTTTTCAATCCGTGCGGAACGTCGCCGGGACAGCCCCGTTATCCCTAAATCTTATGCAGCCGAACGCAGGGGTGGCGCTGACGTTCCAGATCAATATCCGAGCGGGCTCGAGCCCCGAACACTTACCGGCCCGCCGCGCGTCCCCTACGAAAATAACGACGCCGGCCCGGCGTCACGTGACTTTTCGAAATCCATTTTTCATCTCGTCAGCCGCGATTCACGCTCGCTTAGGCGTTTGTGGCTAATCGTACGCTTTGCGCGAAGAACGTGAAAATAGAGATTAGCAACAATGACTCGCGTCAGTTTTCGATGTTTTACCGTTAGGAGTGGGTAATTAACCCTTTGCACTCGGAAGTATTTCGTTAATACTTGATGTTTTCTAACTAGACACGACGTTTGTTGAAATTAGCTTAGGAGAAATCGCAAGTGAATTGAGAAACGGTTTTCTTATCCTGATGTTTCACACATCGATGCGTTGTACGCAGTCCAGTGTTGAATATCAATATAGTTTGCATCAAATCAATGCTCCTCTTGAGTGTGAGAGGTTATTTATTTTTTTCTATTTGAACCTTCGTAAGGGGCCTACGAGCAATGTGAAGTCGAGCTTCGTTTTTGGGAATACCATCGAGGTTCGATTGTTCTACGAGCAAATTACTATTTTCCACCCTGTTGACGTGATGGCTGCATAGACTTGTCTCGAGGCAAATGGGTTTCTTCACTTTTCGTGTAAACTGCGAAAAGAAAGAATCGTATACGAACCTTAACACTAGGTTTACAGACCTTCAATCTGTTCTCTCCACAGAAATTAACCCTCTGCGAGCGAAGATTCTCTGAAATATACAATACCCTCAACAGATGAAGCTAGATTATGTAACGATTACTTGAACAATAGAAAAATAGGAAACTACGCGCTAATCTCTTGCGATTCCATTAATTAAATCATTTGTTTACGACTTAGACTTCGAAATATGAACAATTCATCTCGTCGAAATGTCGACATTCAAGCACTCCAGATAGTTTTGTAATCTATCAGCAACTACAACTAATTTTTATAGTATCCCTAGCGAAAATGAAAAATGCTACATTTTTTAGATCTTTTATCTTGCTTCTTAGTGCAAAATTTGTAGGTTTGAAAAATCTAGAATTATAGGGTAGTTTCTTTAAGATTCATTAAAATATCTAATATTATTTCTGGTGCAATTTTGGAGCCTACAGAGTTCAAAAGGTTAACCCTTAGCCGTCCTATCGGAACCTCTACCTGCTTTAACAATTTTTTCTATATTCGTAGTATCACAATTGTACCATTTAAAGGTAATTCAGTGACTCCCAAATATTCTCGAATAAATAAACAGAGCTATATTAAGCTGTAATCGAATGAACCAACGTGAATCTCAAAACGAAGCCAAGAGCACTCCAACCGCAAATGGTTAATGATCTATTCAGATCAAAATTATAGAATTTAAAAAATAAATTCAAGTACACGTTCATCGACGTGTATTTACCGAACGACGTTCATAAAATTCAGCATGCGTCGGTTTGACGCGTTCCGCGAGTATATAGCGTCGAGTTGTCCTCCCGGACGACCTCAGAGCCGTCACGGCGAATCTTCGTCGCGCGCCCTCGGCGCGAACATCCGCCGGCCGAGTTTCCTTTTTTATTTCTCGGCGATCATTAACGTCGCCGGAAGGACGAATCGATATATCCTGACCGACGGAACGGCGGGTGTTGCAGACACGAAGCCAGAGACATCGTCAGGCACGCGGTGGGGGCCGGCGAGCAGGATGCGGTGCTGTTCACGGGTCAAGGCACGGCGGCTGCCCTTCGCGCGCTTCTGCGACACCTCGATCTCTCCAAGTCCACGGTGGTGTTCGTCGGACCGTTTGAGCATCACGCGAACCTGCGGCCTTGGCGGGAGCACGGCGTCAGGGTAAGAGAGATATATGCGCGGCGAACGTGCAGATATTTTACGCGAGAGGATTTTTCACCGATGAGTCAAGTGTATTCTCGGCCCTGGGGACGCTTCGACCCACTCGAACGATATTCGAATACCGCGGGAGACGTTGAACGTTTCATTCACTACTCCGCTTATCCTTTTCTCCTTTCCTTGGTTCGCTCAACGCTAGCTTTACGGGCACTTATTTTACACTTCGTTCTATCGTAGCGAGATTCGTCGCCACGTTCTTGATTGATTTGATGGCGTTTAAGCATTTTTGGAGCATTTTCTGCGCGCGGCATACAACAGTAGACGACACCCGACTTTCAATTGGCACAGTAGAAAAACGGCATCTGGAGGTTCCATTACTAACTGGATCATCGTACCGCCGACGCTCCAAAAAGTACATCGTACAACCGCGCTGTATAAAAATACGAATAAATACCAGATTTTGATGAACGATTGATGACAAATCCGAACGATTTTCTAAACGCAGTCACACTATTTTCCAAACATCCCAGCGCCGGTCCGTCGCAATACGACCTGGTCGCCCTTACGCACGCACACAAACCATTCATCCTACAATACTTTAACCTACGCTAAATAATTCTAGATACTATCAACAATGAATGTTTCTTCCAACAGAGAGATCTCCTTTCTACCATCAATGAAGCTTATCAGTCTCTTTACCCACAGTTCCTCCATGTAAAATGTCACCGCAGACGAAACGTTCAACCAGAACCTCTCGAAAAACAGAAATTGCGGTACGTCGCGAGTCTCGCAACGGTATCCATTGTCCTTTAAAAAATCGAGTTCCACGCGCCAACATTCCCCTGGTCAGAGAGTGCTCTCGATTGGTCGGACGTTGCCCGGCCGGAACATTCGCTTCCCTTTTTTGAACCGTGCGGGGGTGTGTTTTCGCGCGCGCGCGAAGCGTGTTTTCCCGACACTTCATTTGAGAGGAGTTGTTTTTCTCGCAAAGTTCCTCGA